GTATATCAGCTACTGTGTATTTATAAAAGATCCTATACACGAAAGGAAAAAGCACTGTGTTATAAGACCTTATATGAAGGAGACTAGTTTGCATTACATCAGTGTTTACACAAGCGGAAGCGTGAATGAATGAGGCAAATTTCAATCTCGCACAAATAGCAAGTGGCGCTATTTCCACTTCTTCTAAACCATCACAGTGTAGTGCCCAGAAGGATTTCTCACGCGTACACACGTTTTTCTCTCTCCCGGGTCGTATTAGGCTGACGTATTTCCACAGACGTATTTCCGGCTGTCGGCAGAGACAAGCGACAGCGGGAAACAGGCAGGACGAAAATAGGAGAGGTTTGCACGCAGGCTAACATAACTGGTGCCCATAGGAATTTAGTATTTTTTTATGTTTTAAAAATGAAAAGCAATCGAAAACACGTCCATCACTTTTATTAGTTTAGCTAAGGTTTCCCGACAGTGGCGGTTACTCCATGATCGGGCGTTTCGATAGTTTATAACACTTAGAGCTACATCACCTCATGAAATACCTGTTACAGTAACTGAATTACTCCTTACTTCAGGTTCCTAGTCATCGTTCTCTGATGGTGGAGAATGGAGTCCTGGATGTGATATTTCGTGAAATTAAACATCGGTTTCACAGTCTCAGAATTAAACGGGAGATTGGCCTCTTACTCGGCAACTTAGCCTTAGAAGAAAGTGCTCACGAAGGAATGGTAGAACAAGGTAACCCCTAGCTGGATTGTAAGTCTTCAAGCGTTTCTAGCCCTTTTTCCTTGGAACTTCTGTACCATTTATAGTAAATACAGCTAACATTGCGAAATACGTTGGGTATAACGTGCTCTTTAGGGCTCTCGCTGTGCATGATGTATGTATGATTCCAAGTTATTTTATGTGCAACTTTTATTAAAATTTCCTTTTTTTTCGTTTTGTAAGTTATCAGTGCACTTTAAAGTGGACAATTTAGTGATAATTTTTTCCTTTCACAGGCTGTTTGCCCCTTCTTCGTTCATGGCTGTATTCGGATGTAAGTAATAGCAAGGGTGAGAACATTCTTGTTTTCTTTATCCAACATCGATCGACTACCCGCGATGTCGGTAGCATTTCAATTTTCAGAATGGAGCAAACGACTCGATTGTCAATTGGCAGCGACGTGACGTAACAAAAGCTGCCCTGATTAGCTTTCGTCACAACTTTGCACGATTTATACCTTTTTTTCTGATTGGAAAACAAGAATCGATGCAAATGCGGAAAATCAGATAGACGATGAGTGGAGGTGCGGTTGTTTCATGGTTAGTGCGCTCGCCTGCGGATCGAGTGGTCCGGGTTCGAGACCTGGCCGGGGACATTCTGTTGCGTTCTTGGCCAAGACACTTACTAGATACTCTCATAGTGCCTCTCTCCACCCAGGTGTGTAAATGCGTACCGGAGAATTTAATGCTAGGGGTAACCCAGCGATGGACTAGCATCCCATCCAGGGGAGAATATAAATATACTCCTAGGCGCTTCATGCTACTGAATCCGGACATAAGATTCGGCCTGATGAGCCACTTGGCTCGTATGCAGACTTTACCTTTACCTTTAACTCTTTAATAGACACATTCTAATGCTTTAGAAATAGGACTAAAGCCATATTCTGTTTTGTATGTTGTTACGGTGTCATAATGATCGCATTGTTCGACCAGTGTCATTTTGTTTCAGGACGTGGCCCTGTTTAGTCATGCTGTCCGAACTCTTGCCAATCTGGATAGAGACTTCTGCAAGGACGAGAGTTACGAGAACGGCGTTTACCTGCTTCATCCCCAGGGGCGGTTCACGTAAGTGGCAGATGTTATTTTGCACGAACTTTGATACAATTGCTGTTAACAGACTCTCACTCTCTCTTGCTTTGTTCTTCTTTTTAGCTCCAGTGTCGATGCTGATGTGGTATTTGTTCATGGTCTTCGTGGCGGCCCCTTCATGACTTGGAGGCAACAAGAAGAGAAGGACGTCAAGCAATCTGGCACGGACTGTTGGCCTAAGGTACTTCAGGCTGAATGAATTCCGCTCTTTTTTTTTTTTCAAGCATTTGTCTGTATATTACTCTTGAACTTTCGCACATCTTAGTCCGGTAGCAACTGAGTATATAGCCCGAAGAGCGATTGATTGAACCAGGAGCTGGCAAGACCAAAAGTGATCAACATTCAATCAGCATTTGAATACATTGTCAAGCAAACACATGGTAAAAATAGAGAACATTTTCGGACTATGGCATAATCCTTCCTCCGTTTCGACCTGGAACCAAGGATTTCAATATCAAAACAATGCAGAGAACTGAAATGTGTCAATCTTGAGGCCGAACGGGTTTTATGTTTTCGTCGTATTGTCATGTTGCCTCTTCTTGCGTTTGAAACTCGTGTTTTATAACTTAGATCCGATACTCTTGATTTAAAACCATGTTGTTTCGATTTCTCTAAAGTCCTGGTTGGTTCGTGACGTTCCTAACATCCGGGTCCTTATGGTAGAGTATGACACGTCACTGTCGCATTGGGTATCCCAGTGTCCTCAAGAACCCGAGACGTAAGTTAACAGTTGAACTTCTTTTACGGCTTTCCTGTAAAACTGGCAGACGCGGTGAACTGTAGCTTTAGTAAATTAGCACATCCCATAGATAACAGTTTTATTTTGCGTGCTTTTATAACATACTTGAACTCTCGATATCTTTTATTAGCATGGAAATCGCGGTCGAACTTTTCCGTGTTAAAACACTTACTATCTTGATGTCAGCAAGATCCTGATGTATGGTCAACTCGCCCTGTGGTAGCTCTGTAAATATCCACTGCCACAGTTGAACCCCGCTATCTCGAAAAATGGCTCAAGATGGTAGGGCTCAATATAGCCGATAGTAAGTGACTGAAAAAACATATCCAAGGGAAAGCAATTTGAGTTTGAGATAGCGGGGAGTTCGAGATAACTGAGTTCGAGAGTAGCGAGTTTCTGTTCTAATTACCTCCACTTGTGTAATATTTGCATGAACATGAACGGAATCAAATGTTCTTCCATCCTGCTCTGAAATGACCACAGAGAAATCGACGACTGATTTTGAGCTACACAGAGAACGCATCTTACCCAAATTTGTTCCGTTTGAAGGTGTTTACTGGCTGATGGTTTTCATAATTTTTTGTACTCCTTTAGTCGGTCCTTGATGTATCGCAGTGAGGAGATAAGACGCAAGCTGCGCAAGGCGGGAGTCGGTAAACGTCCTGTGATATGGGTCGTGCATTCAATGGGAGGTAAGTCACATAACGAGCTATGGATATCGTAAGTAAGAATAGATCCTTTGAGGTCCTGGGATATGGGTCGTGTATTCAATGGGAGGAAAGCTGGGTAACAAGCAATGGAAGTCCTTTCCTTTTCCAGTGGCGGAAAGTGCAGCCCTTTCCTGTCTATCTGGAAAAAGCTGAGTCGGCAGTTTTTTTACAGAGATGTTGCTACGTAACGTTGCGCATCTTAAGACGTCATGCTGAAACGACGTACCAACAAGTACTCTCACTTGTTTTGATTGGAATGGATTATTAACGGGAGCCACGAGTGCGTCTACGAAAATTTTCCTAGTTTTCTTTTGAGTTAACGCATTTTTTTCCTTCCGAGGTTTGTTGGTGAAGCAACTTTTGCTGGATGCGGAGAAAAACGACGAGTTTCGGTGAGTTGTAAAACGTCCATCTTAAATTTGTTTCATTGTCAATAACGAATGTAGAAAGTTGTTTACTGTTGTTAACTGCTTTCAGGTGCATGTACGACAACACGAAAGGTATCGTGTTTTACAGCACGCCTCATCTGGGCTCTGCTTTGGCGTCCTACTCATCCCAGGCCCGCCACCTTCTTTTGCCGTCTGTTGAAGTGAAAGAGCTCTGCCAGAGTAAGTGTGCGAGTGAGTGATTTTTATTTGACATTTACTAGCAAAGCCACCCTGGAATAGCGGTTAGGAGATGCGAGTTAAGCTTTGACTCACTAAAGGATTTCCGGGTGTGAGCATGTAGTCTACCGGTAGTGGAGTCGAATCGGAACCTGAGTTGACTGAATTCGTATTCAGTTTTGAAATTCCGTTATTCTCTGTATTGTAAGAGATATTCCAGTTTTCAACCTTCACGCATGCGGCTGACTTCGTGCAAACAAACTGCACAGGCCCGATGAGACCTTGTACTGAGGAATCAGGAATTATAAGAGTAGGTTCTGATGGGAGAAGTATCATTCTACAATAAATTTTGTTTGTCGCTGCCTTGTTCACTATAGAATCGCCGTTCTTGGCCACTCTCCACGATAATTTCCTAGCGTTGGTTCAACGACATCCAGTAAAGTTGCTTAGCTTCGGGGAGACTGTACCAATGAAGCTGTCGTGGATGCTTCAAACAGTTCTTGTGACTAATGATTCCGCAGGTTAGTGAACACTTGACCAGTGACGTTCGAAAGTAGTTCTGCCGGTCGTCAATTTTATTAGTTGTCTTGTGCAGTGAGCTGAAAAGTTCGCGCAACATGCCCCCTAGTCAATCAGGATGGAGTTGTCGTCTTCTTAGCCCGCAGTGAGATGCAGTAGGAAAACCACTCAATATTTGGCTGACATGGCAGCACTCCCACTGCCCTTGCCACCATTTTGATGTATCAGATCCGAGTTTTGGTTCATGCCGAAGTTGTTAGCTCTTTGATTACTTGTTACAGCTTGCAGTCAAAACAGCTCAGGCGTTCCTGCCAAGGGTGAATGAATGAGTTCATTATCGGAAATTCGATTTCATTACTCGTTTCCTCCGTTCTTCAAGTGAAGGGTAGAAAATTCAAAACAAGACTCGATCCAATACTCGAATGTTGATTTTTGATAATGAACTCATTCATTCACCCTTGGCAGGAACGCTTGATGAGCTGTTTTGACTGTAGCGACATTCATGTGAAGACTTGGAAACCTGACTGTGTTGGAAATTCACTTATTGTAAAGTGATACCGCAGTATCAATAACAGCGTCTCGTTCTTTTGTTTTTCGTTGAACTTACATCATCGTCATTCCCATGCACAAGTCGCGACATTTCTTTGCTTATTCTCGTCAGCTGTCTTCTTAAGAATATCTGCGTGATGTATATCGCAAGAATAAACTAGCTTTTAGTCACCTGAAGCTGTTTTCTCCCGTAGATCTGGGTGTTGGAGAATTTTTACCACTCGATGTGGACCACGTTGATGTTTGCAAGCCCAGCAGCCAAACTGACGAGAGATATTTGAAGACTTCCCAGTTTATACAGAAGCTGATATCGGAATAACGTTCTTTCAAAATTAATTTCGAACTTTTTTCCTTTCAAGTTTCGGATATTATTTTGTTTATTTCAGTTCCAGCTACCATTATTATAGTCACCACCCGCTAAAGTCTGCCTTTGAAATGTTCTTTTCAGCCTTCCAATGGTCGCAGTTATTTTTTCAATATTATAATTTTTTTCATTGCTCTAAAGGGGTTCTGTCTTACATAAATATGAAGTCATATCAACGACGATGTTAAGGAAAACCTATACATCATTGTAAAAGGCATGTATTTCAACTTTAGGCCAGAAGAGATTGAAACATATAAGCTTATGTGATCCTTTTTCTGGGCTAATAATAAAGGAAATAATATGTTATCAAGCATGTTTCAAAATATGACTTTATTCTTCCAAACGTTTCTTCTTGCTATAAACGTATGTAATCATTTCATAGTTGTGTATTCTTAATCGATCATACAAGTCACGTTTACAGCTGAAATGTGTCTTCTTGATAAGATCAATTGACAACCCCTGTCATAAAAAAAGGTCTTTGGATGTCAAGCATTACCTAGAAGCTTACCCTTTTATTTGTTCTTTTTCATGGCTTTGTTAATAACCATAACTTTCTCTCCATCCTTTTGGCAGTTGGACATACAAATGTCTATCGTTCTAAGGTCCAATAAAAGCTTTATAAGATTGTTGTGTGACCTAATGCGTTAATCAATAGCGCGACCAGCATCTAACTTCTCTCTGTGAGTGAAGAAACCGGTGATCGAAAAAGATTTTGGTTTAAAATCGAGTTCTTTCAAGCAGAATTGAAGGAAATGTATGTACAACTCAGGGTGAGAAAACTTTTAGAGATAGCTGTTCAGGGCAGGTGACCGTTTCCTGATAACCTGTGTTTGACTAAGAGAGAAACTGCTCTGCTCCTTTGCATTATATTCTTGCCTACTTTTAACAGTACTTTAATTGGTCAGGCTGAATTTAACAAAGGTTTTATACCTAGCGTCACAAAAGTTTAAATATTCTAAAACTGATTATTCCACGGAGTTTTGTCATCAACT